TATACGATTGGCTCTAGATCCCACAATTTTGAGTCCAGCTATATCTCCTTGCTACCTCGTCTAATCTGCACCAGATTTTTTGTGAGTTGACAGGGAGGGCCACCAAACGCATCGATGCCTATCTTCTGGCGGATGGGCATGGGAGCCGCTGGAGAACATCAGCGGTGGCTGGTGGGAGACGGTGCTGGAACCCCCGCGGTGGCAAATAGGCTGGAGCGGCGCTGAGCTGCGAGGGCCATTCGAAGCTCCTTGCAGCTTTAATATTTTTCTTGTTCTTTGCACTAAATCTTTTAAATGCTGAAGTCAGATTTTTCTGAACATACCCACACTGAACTCCAGAACCGGTTCATCTGGATCTTGACTGCTGCCTGTGAAGTAGACAAATAAAACAAACATGAGATAAATCTCATTTCTAATGCTGGTTGCCATGGCACCAGTTACTTAGCTACCTGAGAGCGCTAGCCCCATCATCTCCGCCGAGAGATCAAAGGTGTTGGCCCGGTAGACCGACCACGGCCGGTGGCGGGGGCTGCGCTCCTTCCCAGACATGGTGGGCTGGCGTCCGGGCAAACGATGGGTTTCAGCGGAAAGAGCTTGAAGAGCAGAGATTAAAACTGGCCTGTCAGGTTGTGCACAGCTGCCGTTTCTTTGTTGCTCTCCCTTTTATTTTCAGGCGCTTGATTGTGATAAATCTGGAAGACAAAGAGAAAATCGAATTAGAGCGAACACTGTTTTGTTTTTACAAGAACATTCAGCTGAGGAACAAAAATAACTCCTGCTGTTGATTTGTGTCATTAGGAGTGCAACAAAACCACACCATCAAATCCAACTGTGTCGTAATCGGCACGATTCCTGTTTCCAAGTTGAACTAAATTAAGTCTTGGGTTTCGAGGGTGATAACATATGCAGCGAGATGAATCTCGCTGTGAAAAGTGAGACTTTCGCCCAGCTGCAGGCTATGAAACTCTGCACACACTGCAGCGGGCTGAATCCACATCTGCCCCCTATGAATGTAGAGTAATGATTCCTTCTGGGTTTTTTAAAAATTCTTTTATTGCATTTTGAATACTTCAGATTATCAAACAATGAAGAGTAAATACCAGAACAGCAATGTAATTTCTTAAGAAAAAAATAGATCTAACCTGCAAAATATGGGAAATATAATCATCTTTCAATCTATCTGTCCAGTCAAGAAAACCACTGTAAGAGACATAATTCTCATAGTAAAGCTAGTCCAAGAGAGCAGTAAGGCTGAGGAGTGGCTTTGTCAAATCCACATTGCCTGATAAACCTTCTGATGTGATTTAAAGAAAATGATTCTGCAAAGACCGGTGGGAAAACAATTCCTAAACGGGGATGTAAAAGACGCTTAATGTCTGTTGCAGCTGCCAAGAGTGGCGAGTCAATAACATTTAGGAGCTAATAAAGCTTTCCCATAGCTTTTTTCCCCCCCTGAATAAATGAGATCCTCATTTAACAACTGCTTTAGTCAGATGATCTTTTTCAGATAATAAAATTAGATGATCTGAAACATTACAGAGTGGCAAAAAAACAAAAAAAAAAAAGGAAAAAAAAACCAATAGAAATCCACAAGGGGGCAAATAGTTTTTATGGCACTTTTAAAAACTCAGTTTTGCTAGTGAGAAGAAAACCTTAGACATTTATCAATTGTTTGGAATTAAGTTTTGAGTTGCTGCTGAGATGACGGCCAGGAACTGCTCTGTTTAAGTCTCCATATAGACTGAACATCAGTTCTGACGCCTTACCACATTAAATCAGCTAAAATGGCTGCTGGTCAGGATTTCTAGTCTCAGTTCGCACCGTCTTGTGTTGTGTAATACTACTCCACGCCATTAAGTGGAGCCGCTGACAAGGATAAATGAAAACGGTAGGAAGAGAAAGAGATGAGGCAACATCATCGCTCGGTGCCATCTTTGCAGGCTACAGACCATGTAGCCTGCAAAGATGGCACCGAGCGACTGCACCTAAACACCCCACAACGTCCGACGAAGTGACGTTGGTTCCTAGGCTCTATTGGCCAATAGTAGACATAGAAGGCAGCTCTTTAGTTAGTTGTACTTGATGTGCTACGTTAAATGAACCCACTGAGTTATTCAAGAATGCGTCTTGTTTTCCACACCATTACACACCATGATACAGTTCAAAAAAATGAACACAGAGAGGGATCTATACCACTAAAGCTCAGCATCTGGAAAGCTTTGAATGCAACTGAAAAACACAGAAGTTGAAATAAAACAAAAGGACTCAAATCATCTTTACT